CATCTATTCCTGGAGCCTTATTTTGTGCCATGTCTTTCAAAGCAGCCTGAACTTCTTCTTTCATCACCATAGGCTCTTGCTCATATGTTATTTCATGAAATTCTTCTGTGTCTTCCAATTCCTTTCGATACATATAATACATAATTTTCTCTTTTATGATTTACCTGCTAGAAGGTCAGCTCTCACCTGAAAACCTGCTAGAGGGTCAGCTATGAGTCAGTAATGACCCAGTGGCATACAATAACAATGTGTATGTATAGCTCTGGTGGTCAAGCTATGCTGCAGTCCCACAGACAAGCAGTTCAAATCCCCTGGGTGCTCTGTGGGAGATGGATGGGCAGTTTCCTCTCAAGCAATTACCTGCCTCTGAAAACCTGCTGGAGAATCAGCTGAGTCAGTTCTGACTGAATGGCACACAACACCATCAGTTCCAATTGAATGGCACACAACACTGTATATACATACATATATGTAAAGTAAAAAAAGCAGTATAGAGTTGATGATTCCTGAGTATTTAGAAATTTTCCAAGAGATCATCAACAATACTTTTTATGTCAATAAATTAAAAATAAAAGAACATCAGATCTATCCTATTGACAGATGCAACAAACTCAGTGGTATTCTTCTCAGCTTTCTATGCCCACCAGGTCTGACATCAACATTCTGGAAGACTTTTTCTTTAATGCATTATAAGTTCCTTATAACTAGCTCTTTGAATATGAACTTTATCAAATAATGATGTGAATATATGAGAGAGCCAATCTTAACTTCCATATGATTAGTCAGTACAATGTTTGTGGTGGACGTCTTTTCTATTTACTGCTCCATTCTATAATATTTCTGAAGGTAAACTTGATCAATATGAAGAACATAACATAAATGGCAACATCTTGATAGTTAATACAAATTAAGTATTAGATAAGCACATTCATTTTATTGTTTGTCTATTAGGTATTATTCTGTCTAGAAGAAAATATCTAATCTTTAAACCCCAAAATCTAGTTTAAATCTTTAGACTGAAGTTAAAAGAGTTAAAGCTAAAATGCAGATTTTATTATTTAATAAGATATGAATTTAGAAAATCACTTTCTTGTTTCCTCAAAATCTCCTTTGCTTTCTTATTTTCTTCATCCAAAGAAAGGATCCTTTGACCTGGTTTAGCATTTTTCACTTTTCAGCCACAAAAGTCTCTTGGCTGAGAAAGTATTATGCCTGGAATCAATGTGTATAACATTGAGTTATAGAGTTTCCCTCTGGAAACAGCAGTTGGGGAGAGAGCATAGTGAAGAGAAGGAAGTGGGGCCTAGCTCTGTGTACTCGCCTTCACAGCCTTAAAAAGCCTATTAAATCAGGAGCTAAGGCATATCACATCTTTCCTTGAGTGCCTTTCATGGCATCATTTTTTAAATAATGTAGTACCATTAGCAGTCACTTTTTCTATAATTTTAAATTCTCAACTCCATAAATTGAAAATTGTCTATGTGTACATTTAAGAATCACAAAAATCTACCTCAAAAATGTAATAATATATGCAAATGTACAAGGCTTTAGCCTTGTAGCCTTCTAAAGTAGAGAGCTGATACTGCATAATGAATTCATTAACTTTACTGATAAAATCTGAAATGTTCCTTGAATGTTCTGAAAATTGCACAAGTCTTTTAATGGAATTTAAATTTTGTTTTCCACCACTGTATTTTTCTTGGGTGAAAAAAATTTTTTTCATGAGTTTAAAGGCGGCAGGGCCTTAATGGTGCTTTTTAGTTTTGATACCTAGAAAGTAAACACATTAAACCTGACCATGTGTACAGTACGCAATTATGAGACTCTTGCAGTCATAAATGTGCAACCCTGAAAAATGAAGCCGTAGAGAGTCCACACTGCAGAATAATTAATTGTCCAGGAAAATGTGTCTGCAGGAGGCCAAGCTTTTCAGTGGGCCATTGTCCTGGGCATGTATTGAAATGCATTTATTGGTTGTGAGACAGGTGTAATGGGTCTTCACTCCAATTGCTATCTCCTGTATCTTATGAGCAAGGATCCTCTGACTACCTAAAATAAAGGAAATGAGTAAAAGCAAACTTTCAGTAATCCCACAGGCACCCAGAGTGAAATTGTCCCAGCAGTTACCTTATATAGACTCTGACACAGTTCCCTTTTGACAAAAATACTTAGTCTCGATCATTACTTTCCAACAGTCATGTACTGAGACCTACTTTATAACACTTTAGGGAAGTTAATGTACCAGATCTTGGCATGTCTTTCTGGAGCATGGAGTGACTTGCCGTTCCCTTCCAGAGGGCACTGTTAACCCTTGTGTTGTCTTGCAGGTCCGTGGGGCCGGTGCATGGGAGACGACTGTGGCCCAGGAGGCATTCAGACCAGGGCGGTGTGGTGTGCCCACGTGGAAGGATGGACAACACTGCATACCAACTGTAAGCAGGCGGAGAGACCGAATAACCAGCAGAATTGTTTCCGCATTTGTGATTGGCACAAAGAATTGTACGACTGGAGCCTGGGGCCCTGGAATCAGTGCCGGCCAGTGATTTCCAAAAGCCTGGAGAAACCCCTCGAGTGCGTTAAGGGGGAAGAAGGCATCCAGGTGCGAGAGATAACGTGCCTCCAGAAAGACAGAAACATTGCTGCGGAGGATATCATCTGTGAGTACTTCGAGCCCAAGCCGCTCCTGGAGCAGGCCTGCCTCATCCCCTGCCAACAGGATTGCATCGTTTCCGAGTTTTCGGCCTGGTCCGAGTGCTCCAAGACCTGCGGCAGTGGGCTCCAGCACCGGACGCGTCACGTGGTGGCACCCCCGCAGTTTGGCGGCTCGGGCTGCCCGAACCTGACGGAGTTCCAGGTGTGCCAGTCCAGCCCGTGCGAGGCTCCGGAGAGCAGGTACAGCCTGCACGTGGGTCCCTGGAGCGCGTGCTCTGTGCCCCACGCGCGGCAGGTCAGGCAGGCCCGGAGGCGCGGCAGGAACAGGGAGCGCGACAAGGACCGTGGGAAAGGAGTGAAGGATCCGGAGGCCCGGGAACTTCTCAAGAAGAAGAGGAACAGGAACAGGCAGAACAGACAGGAGAACAAATACTGGGACATCCAGATTGGCTACCAGACCAGGGACGTTACTTGCACCAACAAGACTGGGAAAGCGACTGATCCGAGGTAAGCTTGACCGCCTTTAACTTCATGTGTCTGTCTGTCAAGACCAGGCACAGCCATACTACTTAGATAGTGTTGTGTAAGGCTGAGCCCTGGAATAGTACAGAGTTACTCCTTTGGTTTTTAAACTCTTTCAACTTCTTCAGGTATTATGGTGTTATTTCTCTTTTGCTCATGTTTAGGTACTAACATCATCACAGCAGTCACCATCAAGTTAATTTCAATTCATGGTGATGTCAGCGTTGTGCTCCATAGGGTTTCAGTGAATTTTTGAGCAGTAGGGGGGACGTCTCTCTGGTAGCATGCACAGTTATCTAGTAAATTGCACAACTAACCCAGAGGCTCCCTACAACAAAGATGGACGTCTTCTGTGCAATTTACAGCCTTCACAAACCCTCTGGACTTTCATCTGTGGGTCAGTTCTGACTCAGCTGCCGTGAATATTTGGGAGGATCAGATCACTAGGCCTTTCTTGCTTGCACACTGGGGATGGGATTGAACCTACAACCAGTTGCAACGATGTAGCTAATTCTTCCCTCCCACCCACTCCCCCAGGGACTCCTGAAACTCCTCTACTTAAATGTATACATTTCTTTTTCAATCCGGAACATGCGGATTCCCCAAGAGAAGATACTGCTTCTTTAGGCTAATAGTATTGTTTCTTTTGTACTTGGAAAAGTAGTATTACTTACTGGCTGAAATGTTAGGATGTTGAATTTTGATAACTACAGTTAGCAAAATAGAGTAATGCACGCTTGTGATTTCCCCCAGTTTATAGCATTTTCATAATAACCCTATAAATAAAATCTCCTCCAAACAACAACCTAGGGAGCTATAGCTAAGAATAATTTCAGTTCACATTTATAAAATAGAGTAACTCTCCCAAGAGAAGAAAAGGTAAACCTGCTGCAAAAAAGAAGTAGAAGGTATTTAATCAGAAGTAGTCTAGTAAAGAAAAATATGTAGTTGGCTGTGTATGCTACACAGAAATTATTTGGCAAGTTACCTTTGGGTAAGTAATGATTATGTTATGAAATATAAAAGGCTTTCTCATGCATGCCAAATTTTTGTGAAAATAATTTTCATTAAGGATTAGCAAAAGGATATAATGTCCTCTGAATATTCTTAGTTTTGCTCTTGGATAAGCCAGACCGTCTGGGAGTGGCTTATTGGGATCATTTACATAATTGCTTTTCTGAAATATTTATGTAGTTATGATTTGTGCTGAACTGAGAGAAATTATGAAAACATGACTCAGAATTTGATAGAACTATTTATTGTAGAAATGACATTAAGGGTGTCATATGTTTTACCATGCAGTCTATCTACTTGACTAAAAATGTCCACGATGTGTCTCAACTCATGTTTTTAGGAAGCAGCTCTGTTATTTTTCTTATGGTCCCTGGAGCTCATGTAAGAAATGTTTCTTTTTTGTTGCTTGGAGCCTAAATAGAATCCTGTGGCATGCATTTTTTCAATTAATAAAATAATTTACTTCTTTAATTTTTATTATTTTTCCTTCACCCATTAGTGTCTTCTTAAGTTATTATGTGTGGATTTCTGAAAGCTTGTTTGAAGTTCTTTTTGAAACAGGGTATAAACAAACAAGCAAATAAACAATAAACAACTAATTCAGCTATTTCAAACATTAATTTTGACTCATAATGTCAAGGATCTGTTCACTCTTATAGACATAATTGCTACTCTATCCCTTTATACTTGTAATTTGTTGCTATGTGCCATTGAGTCTCCTGTAACTCATAGCAACCCTCCCTTTGTACAGTAGCTCCGAATTCCACCCTATTCTGAGCCAGTCTCACAGTCTCAGACACACCTATCCCTGTTACCCCAGTTACTTTGTCAATCCTACTCATTCAGGGTCTTCCTCTCCTGCGCTGTCCCTCCACCCTTCCAAACATGATGTTGTTCTCCGAGACAACATGTCGGAAGTATGTAAGAAAGATCTTAAAAATCTTGCCTCCAAGAAGCAACTCGGTTTCACCATCTCCAGGGCAGACCTGTTTGTTCTTTTGGCATTCCACGGTGTGTTCAATACTCTTCTCCAGCTTCACAACTTAAAGACACTGGTTCTTCTCCTGTCATCCTTAGTCATCATCTTGCTCTCTGATGCATAGCAAGTAATTGTGAAGACCATGGCCTGAATCAGGTGTACCATAGTTTCTAGACTGACGTTGCTCTCCAGAACTTTGGAGAGGTCCCTAATAGCAGATTTCCCCTACTGCAATTTGTCTTTTGATTTTCTGACTGTTGGTGCTAAGAGTGTTGATTTTGGAGCTGAGCAAGCTGAAATTGTTAACAACTTCAATCTCTTTGTCATCTATCATGGTGCTGCCAATAGACCACAGTTGTGGGAATCATTGTGTTCTTGATGTTGAGCTTCAATCCACATTGGAGACTGTAGTCCTTGACCTTCTGCAGCAAACACTTCAGGTCCTCCTCAGTTTTAGCAAACAAGGTTGTGCCATTTGCATAACACATGTTGTGATTGAGCCTTTCTGCAATCCTGATGCCACATTCCTTCTCATGAAGTCCAGCCTCCCCAATGATCTGTTCTGCATATAGATTGAAAATGTATGATGGCAGGACGCATCCCTGACAAAGGCCTTTATACTTAGTGTTTGTATTTCATTTCAGATGCACAATAATCTTCTTTTTCTCTGTTGTGTTTTTCTCTTTCTCATCCCTTCTCTGGCTTTGCTAAGGGCTAGCATTTCTTCTGCCTTTATTTTCTGAATTTCTTGCAATTTAAACAGGTGCGTGTGCATATGCGTATGTGTTGAAAGTAAGTATATTCTCATTTCAGTTCAGTCTGTTTTAGTCCTCTCTGACTATCCTTGTTTTGCTGATTTTCTGATTTTTTTTTAATTTCCCTGAAATTCTACAGTGATGTCAATTACTTAAATCCTACTGAGTAATTGAATGACCCTCCAAGGCAAGTCGAGTTATCTCCTGCTGTCTCTGGGTCAATGTGTTGCAGACATTTGATTTAATATTGAATATTCAATTAAAAGTGCAAACCACACAGGGCCTAATTTCATATTCCATTGTTTGAATTATGCAAATATGTTAAAAATAAATTTGAAGACTATCAGGTTGTTATATTCCATTTAAATTTCATCTCTAATGATTTCAAGAGAATGATTGTTTCCTTTTTTCTGACTAATTGAGTTATAGTTTAAACTTCATTTTAAGAGTTGAATTAATTTTATTTTTTATATTATATATAAATTATGGTACATTATTAAGGAATTAAAATTCTGGTGATGATGAGATAAAAATTATTTATATTGAGTATATTTTGCTAAAGAAATACACCTTGACATCATTAAATTAAAGTGAAGTATAAATGAGTTATACCAACGAATCACACTGATGATTACATTAAAGTGCTTCATCTTCTATCAAATTTGTAAATAATTTTAATATAAGTAGATGAAGCCATTTAATATGGTTGAAAAATCCTATCACACCTAATTAAATTTGGCTGAATAAACTCAAGTGTCCAGGAGCAAAAGTTCATCTATTTAATCAATTTGTTATCACTGAGTTGCAGCTGACTCATAGACGACCCTCCAGTGACCTTACTGAGGCTCTACGTGAGAAGATATTGTCCTTCATTCTCCTGCAAAGCAGTTGTGGATTTGAAATTCCTGTGTTTAGATTGGCGATATAATTCCCTTCTTAGGCGGACACCAGACATCTTCTGATATAGTTAATCAAATAATTTTAGTAGGACTTATGCATACATTTTCAAATTAAATATGATGTATTTGATCTGCTTTCCTCTTATAAATTAGTTAGAACCAGAAAGTTTTGCTCCTATGCCAAAATGAATAGTTATAGTAACCAAACACTACTGACACAGAATTGGCCAGTATGAAGTTAGATTTGTGTGTTCTCAGGAACATACAAATTTTTCAGGAGTTTGATATCTCTGAGGAGACAAGTCCATGATAACTCCATACTGTAGTATGGTCTGTATAGACTTCTGTTTGAAAAGAAAACACCATGTTTTTATTATTATTAGGTGCTGTTAAATCGAATATGACTCATGGTGACCCTATAAAAAAGAGATCTGACTCCTGTCCTATCCTGTGCTAATCTCACAATCTCTGACACAATTGAGCCCATTGCTGCAGTCACTGTGCCAATCGAACTGGTTGCAGGTCTTCTTTTCCTTTGCGATCCCTCTAGGTCTTCCTTTCCTTTGTCAACCCTCCACTTTTCCAAACATATTGTCCTGTAAGGAATAGTCTATCCTAGCAACATGCCAAAAGTACATGATCAGAAGCTTCACCATCCTTACTTCCAAGGAGCAATCCAGCTTCACCTTCTCCAAGACTTAACTGATTGCTCTTTTGGCTGTCCATGGAATATCAGTACTCTCCTTCAACACCACAACTCAAAGATACTAGCTTTTCTTTTGTCGTCCCTTATTCATTGTCTGGCTCTCAGATGTATAGCGGATGATTGAAAAGACTGTGGTGTGAATCAGGTGTATCTTAGTCCTCAAACTGACATCATTATTCCTCAGTAATTTGGAGAGGTCCTTGACTACAGACTTTTGCACTGCCATGTTTTCTGATCTTCTGAGTTTGGTGCCAAATGTATTTATTATGGGTCCAAGAAAGATGACGTCATTGACAGTTTCAGTCTTTTCTCCATCTGTCATGATGCCGCCAATTGGTCCAGTGGTGAGAGTGTTTGTCGTCTTGATGTTCAAATACAATCCATATTGACGGCTTCAGTGTTTGATCTTCTGTAGCAAGTGTTTTAAGTCCTCATTACTTTAAACAAGCAAGGTTATGTCATCTGCATATGCTTATTGATGAGTCTTCCTCCAATGCTGATGCTGCATTCCTCTTCAAAGAGTCCAGCTTCTTGGATAATTTGCTCGGCATACAGATTGAATAGGATGGGGAAAGTACATAGCCCTGATGCACTTTTCCCATTTTTAAACCATGTAGTGTTCCCTTGATCTG